TACATAGTAAGCCCCTAGAATAATGTACGAATATCCCCTGAAAGTACTTGTTATGTTACAGATCCCGCTACCACGTGTTCGTAGCAGCTGCATTGATGGAATACTACTGTTCCAAAGACAAGAATATTGCATTCCGCATCTTTGAACTCGGATTGAAAAAGTTCTCGCACATACCCGAATATGTGTTGTGTTATATTGACTATTTGTCACATTTGAATGGTAAGTTAATTTTATAGTTCGTCATAAACAGAATCGCAATTTTAGTTGTATCCTAAAAATAGCTGTTTCATATAAAATGTCTATCTATTCGTAACAATCAGAGACGGACAAACGCCCGGGTTTTAACCCCGCTCTGTGTTAACGCCGGGCTGAAATCGTGTTAAAACCCATTAATGCCCAAAATCGAATATTTGTTGCAAATCGAGTTTTGTTTAAATTGAATGATATTGTGGCAGATCGCGAACTGTATTTGACAAAGAACTTAAATCTAATTAGTACCTAATCTAACACTATAACTAAATATTGTAATAATTACGTAACTTAAACTGTAGTAGTCTGTCTTTTTTGAAGACTTAGGGTCGTATTCCAGAACTCTACTCAATGCTCAAGTGAGGACTTGAGTATGATTTCAAGCACTGGAAATATGACCCTAATGGCAAGGACTTGAGTATGATTTCTAGTGCTTGAAATCATACTCAAGTCCTGACTTGAGCACTGAGTAAAATGACTGTTCATTGCGCAAAAGTGTTGCCCACTTGCGAGCAGCTAAATAGTGGTCACGCGTATTAAATAAATTGCTAAACTTGTTTCATTTGAATCATTCTCTACTCATTATTCATCCAATTACTGAGCACAAGTTCATTTTTTACTTTAATTATTTGTATGAACGTAGTGTATGTATGTATGAATACACTGTATTTAGAACTATGTTTATGAAAAATGCAAAGAGGAGACATATTGTAAAGTTCTTCATTTTAATTCAATATAGATAATGAAATCCGGCTATTCTTATTAAAACGTATATGAATAAAAATTTATCTCGATACTAGTAGGTCAACTGTCAAAACAAGAATAAAGAAGGCTATTGCCATCGCAATTAGTAATCATTAGAACATCGTAACATTCACATGTCAGTCATTTTTGGCAAAATTTTATCTTCTTTCGCAATCTATCGATAAAACTATCGACAACAGCTACATAACTATTTAAAATTTTATGAAACTGGCAACCCTACAAATGTCGTTTTACTCCGTCTTCAAAAAAGACAGACTATATATTTTCATACATATAAATACTTTATTTACATCTAACAAATAAAATAATAATTATTGATTAATTAATAATTAATACAAAGATCGAACACCCAGAAGAAATTCTTTCGATAATTACAACAAACTAGTGGAGTAATTTCACATAAAAAAAATTTAATATCAATTCAATAAGCGACATCTCTAACCGGAGCTGGTAGCTGTAAAGGTATCTAACTGGATGACGAAATACTTTCATAGATTTCTCATAGATGGCGTTACGGCTAAAAAGTCAACCAAATACAAAGACACGACAACAAGCACATAGGAAAATTCGTGAGGTCCGCTGGTTCGTTCCGTGGCTTAGTTGGTATAGCGTGTGCCACGGTATGCTGCTGGAAGACGTCGGTTCGAATCCAGCGGGATCGAAGGAATTTTTTCTGAGTGTTCGATCTTTGTATTAATAATTCTAACAATAATTAAAATTAAAACTAAAGTGTCTATAAAAAATATTAACGTAAATTTCAACTTACCTCTCGATTAAAGTTAACCCACGCTATTGTTTAGCGTGAGCCGGCCGGATACAATGCATTCCTGCGCACCGGCAGCCAGTCGATCATAAGGTCTTCGAAGTGAAACCCGTGTCGCCGCTTGCTTGCCTTTATACCTATCGACTCGCGCTAATTTCGCTGTATTTACCTAATAGTGCCCTAAACGTGTAATCTATTGCTCGACTGTTACTTGGCGTATTACAAAATGTTTACTGTTTTCTAATTCGATCAATTTGCACCGATTCACACGAAAATCGCATTAAAATAAATCGATACATCACTCGTTAGATCGTATACGTGCATTTGAATCGATCTTCATAAAAATGGAATCCTAATATACATCTTTACTAGTGAGAATCCACAGGATTGCAAGGTGGGTATTGTGTGGAGCTGCGTCTATTTCGTCTAAAAGATTTTTTGAAATTATACCAATTTCTGATTTGCCGTTTCTGCCTACGATTTTGGGGAGGAACGGGTTGAAACCTTTGCGGGGTTTTGGGTAACAACCCGGTTGATTGGGTAAAACCCACCGCCCATCTCTGATTACAATGGAATTTCTGATGAATTTATCGCAATTTAAGGGTTCCCATTAGCAAGAAAAATTACAAATCATAAATCGAAATCTTACAAAAAACTACAGTACTTCTATTTTCGCAATGTCACTCGGCAAGCTTCGGGTTTCGTCAGTCGTCGAGTTTTATTCAGTTGCCCTTTGCCTTTGGTACAGACCGGACGGTTTTACTCGACTTGAAAATATATAGAGTTTTTTTTATTATATACAATGGGTCGAAAGCCGCTAAATTCACAGGTATTATTCCAGCGATGTCGAACATACTAACATAGATATGTCAGATAAAGAAATGCGTTCAGACACGGACTGAATTGCAATTATTAATAACCGGAAAAATGTTCATTTTTAGTTATATGAAAGAAGCACACTTTTTTTACTTTACATTTTTGTTAACTTGCTTATTATTATGGAGTAAATGTTATTAAGAATAGGGACATAGTTCTACAGCCTATATAGTTCACACGGAGATCAAAACAAAACAACAATAAAGTAACTGCCTCCGTGGCCGAACGATTACCATGCCGGACTGCCAACGCAGAGGTCCCAGGTTCGATTTTTCGGGCCGGGAGAAATATTTGTAAGGCGTACATTATTTCTCTCGTGAGTTTGGATGTAATTTGTGGTTGTCTGTGTGTGTGTCCATGGCACCCGCGACACAGGGTTTCCCTAATGCGGGGCTATGTTGAGTGTGTGCTTTTTTATTATTATAACTACGTTGTTCAAAATTCAAATTATTATAGATTTTAAATCTAATAATTAATGGGCATGGAAATTAATATTCGTGTGCATTCGGAAATCCGATTATTGCCGAGGGACATTGAGAAAATATAAGCACTGTACTGATCCAAGTGGACTAAGGTGACCCACGGGAAGTAATAGTTGCCCGTGGTCCAAGAAGTGAGTATATTCACAAGAAAAAATGAACATCATATTCAATTTATTGTTTCCAGAGGATAACAACACACGGGTGTTATTCGAGCGCGTTCTCTCATCTGGAAGCCTTTCCCCAGAAAGCTCTGTGGACATATGGAATAGGTTTCTTGAGTTCGAATCAAATATTGGCGACCTGCTCAGTATTGTAAAGGTGGAGAAGCGCAGACAGGCTGTACTGGAAAAGGTAATGCTCTAATCATGTGTATAGCGTTTTTATTTTTATTCACAACACCCGAATTGAACGTCAAACTGTCGTATTCGAAACCGAACCAAAATGACGTCACACTCGTATAATTACTCGAACTTCTCGAGCGACAAAGGCTACAAACGTTATATGAAAGTTACCGAACGTCCTATTGTTTACAAAGCAAGAATGAATATGGAAATCTGTTATTATTTTAAATGAAGTCTGGATTTTGTTCAATTTTATTAATTTATTTTAATGCAAGACTAATGCATTCGTATATTTTAGTCCTTTAAAATCATTGACTTACAATTATATGGACGTCGGGTCCGCGCTAAAAAGTGTCCGAACTTATAGGGCGTTAAAATCGTATACAGAGCGTCATTCACGCTTTAGTCTTCGTTTGTTCGACTGACAGCGAAGCAAGCAAAATTAGACAGTACTGCGATGACATTACAATTTAAATTCAACGTTTTAGCTTTTTCATTTTACATGTCACTACGTTTAAATAGGTTGACTTGGGACATTTTTGTCGTGGTTTTTGTATTAGACCCGTTGTCCATTTATTTGTAAGTCAATGTTTAAAATCTTAAAAATGTATATGAAAGAATTTTCATTTTTCTTATAATCTATTTCTCCGACTAATTCCGTAAACGCTGTTGGCTAACGATGTCGTATCGGAATCCGACTCGAACGTCTGAATAGCTCGGAAAGCGCTTTTTGATTCGAGAATTATATCCAATCGAACGATTCGGTTAAAATATCGAAGAGTTCTGAATCGGGGACCTAGTCTGCCACGCAGAGGTTCCAGGTTCCATTCCCTGGCCGGGAGAAATATTTGTATGGCTTACATTTATTTCTCTCGTGAGTTTGGGTGTAATTTGTGGTTGTCTATGTGTGTGTCCATGGCACCCGCGACACCGAGTTTCCCTTGGGTTTGAGTTAAAACAAACAACTGAAATGACCAATCATCATAGAGTGACGTAATTGCTGAAATATGAGACAAAAAAAACTGGTCCAAGGGGCGTCTATAATTTGGAGCGACTTCTTTTTAAAAAGGAAAAATATATTTTTTACTTAATTTTGTTCGTCTTACTTTCAAATTTAATATAAATCATTCATGTCATACTATCGTTTTATTCGTCACCAGATCAAAGAATTCGAGGGCAAAGAAACGGCCCAATTGGTCGACAGATACAAGTTTCTGGACTTGTATCCTTGCAGCATTGCAGAGTTGAAATCTATTGGATACACAGAGGTAAAATAGCGTACTGAATTTATTGAGTATACAAAACAGAATACAAGGAATATTATAGGATACAAATAATATTGCGGCGTGGAAGAAGATATAGTGACAAAGATAGAGAAAGGAATGCTTAGATGGTTCGGACATGTAGAGAGAATGAATGACAGAAGAGTGACGAAACAGATTTATAAGGCGTGTGAGAGCGGGCAAGTTGGTATGGGCCGACCAAGGAGAACTTATCATGACCAAATTGAGCCCATCCTAAAGAAGGGCCAGGTCAAGAGTACCCTTATCCGACGAGCGTGTATGAAAGCATTGATGCGTGTTGATGAGGCGAAAGATGTGTGTCAGGACCGTAGCAGGTGGAAGACTGTTGTCTCTGCCTACCCCGATGGGAAAAAGGCGTGAAGTATAATAATAATAATAATAATAATTCATTTTTTTTTAATTGAATTTATTTGTGAAAACACAGGTTAGATATGCAAGTTGACATGTACAAAATGAGTAGGTATAGTTTCACTGTGTCCGGTCAAACATTTGGCATACAAACATACTGAAAGTATATTTGGTATATGAATATTATAGTACAAACACAATTACCGGTATTGACAATATAAAAATGAAAAGAAGAAAATGTATTTAAAGTATTACATATGTTTGTAATATCGTTAGTATTCAAGAATGTCAGATCAATTATTAATGTCCAAAATAGTGAATATAATAAAAACAAATTAATTCATTCCAACAATTAAATTACAAAAGTCAAGCGGCTTTGTCAGGTGAAAAATATTAAGTTATAGTGTCATTTAAGAAGTTGTCAGTTGTCATTATATGTATGTATGTATGTATGTATGTATGTACAAATAATACTAAAAAGAAGTATGCAAAAAATATAATAAGTTTCTGTATGTAAAAGTAACTGCCAGTGCAAACTGGCGGATGCATTTATTTCTTCTCTCCTGACATAATGATGCCTTAGTTTGAAAAACTCGTCTCTTAGAAAGAGTGATTATTCAAAGGTGGCAACATTTTCTATTTATTTTAAATTTCTTATCAATTTGGGTGCATTACTTTAAGAATATGTAAACGCCAGTGTGTTAATATGAAGGGAATGCGATGTGAAATCAACCTACAAAATTTGTATATACAATCCATTATTTTTTAATTTCAGTAACTTTGTGCTTTAAGATACGAGTTTGAGAAAGCAGGGCGACGTATTACACCATTATCATCATGCTACTTAACAAACATTGTGTGTTAAAAAAAATATTTACAGGTGGCCTCCATGTCCAACAAATCGTGGGCTCTGGGAGGACCCTTGGCGAACGTATCGCCTGAGCTGGCCGCTGTTATCTTGGGACAGAAGTAAGTCCACACTCACAGCTCATTCATGCCCTATTTACATTCTTATACAAGATGACATTATTTTAAGGTGCCTACAGATTTGATCGACATTGTCGATCGAGAAATGTCGATTGGGTGCTTACAGAGATGCGGCTCGTTACGTAATAAATAAATAACGCACATACTCAATATAGCCCCGCACTAGGGAAACCCTGTGTCGCGGGTGCCATGGACACACACATAGACAACCACAAATTACACCCAAACTCACGAGAGAAATAATTGTAGGCCATACAACTATTTCTCCCGGCCCGGGAATCGAACCTGGAACCTCTGCGTGGCAGTCCGGCATGGTAACCGTTCGGCCACGGAGGAGCAATGCGTTGTGTTGTTGATATAATTTTTATGAAACCTACATTTCGCGTTGTTAAGTGTTTTTGTGTTTTCTGTACAAGTTGTGTTAAGTGATAAGCTGATAAGAACTTACGAAAACGAATGCAACTAACTAGTGCTTGAGACTGTGTTAACATGGTTTTGTGTTAGGGCTAACTTCGTTGAAATGCCTGTAATGCATTTCGACTTTACGGGATTGGTGTTTAGAGTTCTATTCTCAACGTGGTGTGGGAAAACACGCGTTCGAAAGTGCGAACGGCAGCCATATATCGATCCTTATTAACTCTTAATTGTCAAGTTTCAAGACATGGCCCCATAGAAGAAAATACTAGTAACGATGGGAAGAATACGTCTAAGAATACATTTTCGTTAAGCGTCTTTTTCACCCTGTATATATAGTGTGAAGTACAGTGCATGTACGTGCAGCTTTACAAGTAAAAATGCGGCAAAGTTTCTGTCTTTAAACATCATATCGACATTAACGATGGACTATGTCGAGGAAATCTGTAGGCGCCTTTACGATATTTTGGGGGGTAGATTTACTCGTTAATGCAAAGTACTTTTACAATGGCAACCCTTGTTTATAGATAAATCGACCCCTCCTACGTAAAGTGTCGTATGTTGAAATTGCCAAGTTCACAGAGGAGCGTTTTAAAGTTTTGAATTCACTGAAATGAGTATAATTATAAAATAAATTGTAGTGGTTCATCTAACCGATATCTAGGATTTTATAATACTCTATGTGAGTAACGAGCTTTGCCGAATAAAACTGAGAAATGCTAAATTCACGTGTTATACTCATTCCTGTGAATTCAGAACTTTAAAACGCTCTTTTGTAAACTTGGCAATTTCGACATACGATACTTTACGTAGGAGGGGTCGAAATTGCAAAATAAAAAACAGCTGTGCCATACTCGACAAGTTAAAGCTGGTATTCTCAAATGAAACTATTTATTTCAGACAAATGTAGTCCATAATACTATAAATGCAGAGTTATTTATTTCATAATCTCAGAGTACTAAAAAAACCGACGTCAAAAGTACGTGGAATTACGTCTATTTGCTAAGTTTTATTGAAATATCCTTAAAGTCGCCAATATACAGGACTTGACAGTGAAGATAATAAAAATCGGTTCTCACTTCTCAAAGAATATTGAGAGAAAAACGCCTTGAGTTGGAGAAATAGCAAAATCAACCATTAAAATAATTGCTCCTTAAGAAAGTTTAGGCGCTATATATAAAAATGAATTTTCATGCGTGAACAGCCACCCTTAGAGGTGGATGATTTCCTTAAAAAATGGGACTACTATGGAAGTACCCCCTTTCCAACAAAAAAAGAATCATGAAAATCGGTTCACAAATACCGGAGTTATCGCATTGTATGTATGTTATACAAAAAAAAAACATTCAGTTGAATTGAAAATGTCCTCCTTTCCATATAGTGTTAGTAACAAAATACTGATTAATGATTCTAAGCAATAGAGCTCATTGTGAAAGAGTTCGTCCTGGGATGTACTGCCACCTTACCTATTTCTGAGCCAAGCAGTAATGTTAGCATTACTGTGTTCCGGTTTTGAAGGTTAAGGTGCTGGTGAAATTAGTGGCACATGGGACTTGTCAAGAGTGGCACTGCAACTGTTATGGACATGCGCGTAGCTTGCCATCAATCGCACGACGTGTTCGTCCCGTCAATTGATATTATAAAAAAACTTACAAACTATTTTAATATAAATCCTCTAAACATTGATGTGTACCCGTACCCATTGATTATGGGCCCATTGGTCCTCTCGGCCACTGTACAAAAAGGCCATTGACGCTGCCCCGCACTCTGTGTATTAGGGACGCTACCCGCTTCCGCAAAATGGCACTAAACATTCCCGAAGCGATACAGAAGCTCGGCAACTGCAACTGCATTTTGAAAGCGTTATTATACTGGACGCACAGGGGCCCGACTACACTTGTAAAAAGATTGGTTATAACTTATAATCAATGAACAAAAATAAAACATTAAATGTAATCGACTTTTTCTACCGAGTGTAGAACAATCAACTACTCCTGAGAGTAGCGGTGTTTGTATTATTTATTTTAATTATTTTATAAGGAGGGATAGTGAGAATATTAACTGTTCCCAAATCACGACTATCTGTCGTGACTGTGTCGTGAACGTTTATTAGACTGTCGTGTCTAGCTGTTTTCATGACAGAATCCTTTGAAGGTGCGATTATCTGTCGTTACATTTTTATTTATTGTCGGATGACTGTCGTTCTAGCTCTTTCTATTGTCACGACAGTCTGTCGTCGTAACGTCAAAAAATCGAGTTGTACTATATGTGAACAACGTCATTTAAATGACCCTTAAAAAAAAAAAATCAAAAATCGAACCCGGGACTGAAGTGTCTATAAAGATATAGAGACTGACAATACGCAATATCTACAATAGTATCTTCTATTTTGATCCATAGGGACCACGACCCTAACAAGGACATATTACGCCCGGACACGAACCAAATGATCCCTTATAAGCCAAAATCTAATCCTCTGCCCGGTGAACACCCCATTCCTGGTAAGTACAGTCAGTTAATGAGATATGTTTAAGTAAGGCAACAGGCAATCGGATTATAATTCGAAAAACAAATGTTATTTTTATATGAAAGTAAAATTTGATGAATTATTGAAAGTCATATGGAACAAAAGTTGTTGTTTACGATGTTAGTAATATAGTCTTACGAGGTTGTTAGTATTTTATAATAGTTTGTCCCTTTTAGCCGGAATGACATACGATCTTTCCGAACCTTTTTTCGTTTAGAGGAAAAAATGAGAGGTTACTTTTTGGTTGAGCCCCGTCGCGGACACAAGTGGCGAGATGTAAAGGTCGTGCTGTCATTCCGGCGCAGAGTAAGTTAACCGTGAAGCGGTGTATGACAATAAATTGTTAGACCGCGCCAAGTGCCATTAGATCGGATCAATAATATTGTATTAAATAAAAAGATTGTTATAAATTAATCGAAATGCGGTCGAGAAAAGTTCAGAAATAGGGGAACAATAATGACGTCCGATCTGTCACTTTCCTAACCCAACTGCGGGACTGCAAATAATTAAATGCTGTAACGTACGTTACATAACCCTGTTTAGATAAACATATTGGATAAAAATAATGGATATTATAGCTAATTTCTAAAAAGTTGTTCGATTCCCTATTGTACAGCGCCTCCAGGCAGTCAAAGGAAAAACTAGTCATGCAATACTTTAGTAGTTCCTAGCGACGTCGACACTGTAATAACTTATAATAGATTGATTAAATGTACGTGCAATATCTGCATGAAGAAGTGCTAGCCTAATGGTTTGATCAACAGCCTCTCAAGCCGAGGGCGTAGCTTCGAATCCGGGCTTTATATGCAAAATTTGATTTTAAATTTACCATGAGCTTTTCAGTAAAGGAACCATCGTGAAGTTCCCAATCCGCATTTGGGCCCACGTGTGAAGCCCTCCTATTGTGCCAGGCCAGCAGTGGGACTATGATATAGGCTAACTATTATTATTTATCTGCATGTAAAATGTAATCCTAGGCGGCACGTTCCCCGTGCCCCCCGCTGCGGCCCACCTGTGCACCCTGATGCCGCCTCCGTCGAGCTACCGGGGGCCCTTCGTGGCCGTCGACAGGCTCATGCAGCTCTTCAACCGCATCTCGCTGCCCGATAAACGTACGTATGCTCAACAAACTATATTCTTTTTAGATTGTCCGTGTGAGTCGGTTTTTTTTGAAGACGGAGTGAAATGACATTTGTAGGGTTGCCAGTTTTCATAAAATTTGAAATAGTTACGATAGTTTTATCGATAGATTGTGAAAGAAGATACAATTTTGCCAAAAATGACTGAATTGTGAACGTTACGTCGTTTTCTATTGATTACTATTTGTTTTATTTTATTTTTTATTCTTCTTTTATTTTTTTTTATTTTATTAAAAATTTCAAATAGTACTTTTTCCGGAAAAAAATCCGAAAAATTAGAAAAATTGGAAAATTATTATTATGAATGCTCATATTATGTTCTACGTATAGAACTATTTTTTGAAGGTTTATTTAGCGTGAATTATGAAATAAACGTGTATATCTAAAAGCCATATAACAGAAAAACGAGATTTATAATTATTTCACAACAGCGAAAAAACCTCCAACAACCACATTATTTGTTATTGGCTCCATCATTTTCTTTCAGTAACTTCAACTTTTGACAGATGTCAACGTCAAATGTGGAAAAATATTGTAAAAATATCCAGAAAAGTATGATTTGAATAAAAATTGCAATTTTTCCATGACCCAACATACGTCCGTGATTTATAACGTGATTCCGACTGTATGTGGCCGGTCTTACAGATGTGTGTTCGTGTGTAAACTGACAGTTAATTTGACGTGTTTGACAGCACCACCGCCGACACAAGAGAACGGCTGCGACACCAAGCTGTTCGATTTGGCTCGCTCCGTGCATTGGATCGTCGATGACGACGGCATTACTACCATATCTAATAAGGTACGTAACACAGTAGGAATGTAACTTGTTGGGCGAAAGCTAAGAGCAATAACCTATGGTATACGAGGTACCACAAAGAGTTGAAAGTTTACACTGTCATAGATAAAATTATTAGAACCTGTATAATATATACAGTAGAAAAAGAATTGTAAGCTAAAATAACACTGCTAAGACCTTTAGGAGATTATTCCTATCAAGGAAACACTAATCAAGTCTTAAGAGAGAGCATACCAAAAAAGTTTTGACGTTGGCTCCGCCCAAATTTGTGAAACAAATATATGCCTGAAGTTCGCGTGACATGCGACAGGAGATGTTGAATTTTGCGCATTAAAAGTACCAAATTCGTTTCAGCGGAATAACTCTAAAACTAAAGGGATTAAAAAAATCCCTAGTGACAGTTCTCGATCATGCATAAATATAATTAATTATCTAATTTTTGTCCTAATAACCTGTAGCATTTCGAGGATAAATCGAAAAGATGTGAAAATTAGAGGTCATTTCGTGATTTTTATCTATCGAGGAAACTTTATTGTTTTATGTTTCTAATTAATGTCTATGCTTGAAAATATCGTGTAGTTACTTATACGATATTTTATTTTTAACTTTAAAGTGGATATACCGCTCCTCTAAAATCAAATCGAAGATTAGGAATTTTTCCTCTGCTCCCTCTTAACTCTTTTTATTTCGTGATAATCTCACTGGCCAGCACAAATTTAAATCAAACGTACGACACACGTTTGACCAGACAATACAAAAAATGTAGTTTTAATCGATGAATCGAGTATAATTTATTTATAATATTGTTTCTATATTACATGGAGTAAATCGTACAACAACCAAATCTCATTATGTGTTTAGTAAACAATAAATATAATAGCTGACAGAATTGAAAAATAAAATAGAAAAAGCTAGAAATCGGCAAAGGGTATATCCTGCTAAGTTATTGTTCGTAGGGCGAGACTCAAAAAGGAAACATAGTGGTTCGGTTACAGACTAAAACTGTTGTAGGCTTGTAAATGAATGAATGTATTTCTATCACTCATTAATTTCATTTCAATGTCGAGAAAGGATGTCATTGTGGTGCTGCAACCAGGACCGTCTGCAGACTATCCAACTCCTTAAATACTCGCAATAGATCTACTATGTTTAGGCTACTGAATTAGTCGTGATGAGCTGTTGGCGTCGGGACGCAGCCCTTCCGAAAACACTTTATGTCCATTCAATAAGAGCGAAAATGACGTTGCGCGTTTCGCTACCGCTTGATCGCCAACGCGAATGCACAACTTCGTTTTCGCTTTTCTTACATGGATATAAAGATTTTTCTGATCAGTGTCGATAAGTATGGATGCTGACAGATAGTGAATTTATTACTTTTTTTCCTTCGTTCCAAATGGAGCAGTTCAAAGACCATACTGCCTAGTCATTAGTGTCTCTTTTTCTTCAGTAAATATGTTTCGATTTAAGTCTTCGTTATTCGACACGAATTTCATTGCGCTCGCAGCGACTGCGTGCGTCTAACTGTCATAGCAAAATACGCTCTATTTGTTTTTAGCTTTAACGTTTTAACTTAAATGAACGTCCCGGGCACGCGAGTGAGTCTAGCTTGAATTTGGTCTACGCGACCACCGCGCGGTTGTACCATTCAGAGGAATTTAAATGTTGTTGCCTAGTAAATAGAATTCAGATTCGCCATTGATGTACATGAAGGCGTGGTAACTGGGCGGTCGCCGCGTTAAAGCGTTCTCCTCGTGTAACTGGACGCTAAGTCTTCAGTATTTCAGAAAGGTCTTTTAGTTTAAAATATGAATTATCCAGTATTCCCGAATACGAACAAGCCTCGAAAAATGTTAACGTCAGATCCTTAAAAACGTCGTCATTATTTGTCAATTTCGATGACATTATGGTGATGAGTGGTTACAAACGCGCGATTGCGTCGCTACGCTTGCGATTGCATCGGTTCAAACGCGTGTGTAAAGGTAGACGATTAACTATTGCTTCGCTGCTAAAAATCCCGTTGTAACCCTAACAAGCCGTGACCAGGTTCACGGCAGTAAAACAGAAAACTTCAGGTCCACCAATTTATTTAAAGTCGGTTAAAGAGAAAGTAACAAAGAAGGCCTAAAGGGGCCGAGTTATACTGAATTACAGATACGTATTCATAGGTACATGATAAAGGCTGTAGTGGTTATAAATTTTTTTTTTTTATACATGACAGGCAAATGACTCCACTCCACCTGATGTTAAGTGGAAAGTGGTATCCAAACGCGAAGGAACCTAGTGCAGCGATGAAACCCTCACTGCACTAGCCACCTCCACCCTGCCTGCCTACAATATGCCTCTTCACGTTATTAAAATGTGCACATGATTTAGATTAGTAATGATTGTAAACTTAGTAAAGGAATCAAAATTAGACGCGATTGAATTTTAACAGCTCCGTACGCTGTCGCGATCGAGCAGGGAACGAGACAAAATCAGAATGCGAGGCAAAAGAGCTAGGTCACACCGTCACAGCTCTATGACCAAAATCAACTTATTACTTACAGATAGTGAATGTATCGACTTTTACGGGTGCGCTGTTTTGTGTCGGTGGTTTTTCGAATTTGAAGTTTTATTAATTCTTGTAGAATCTATTTGCACGAATATACGTTTAAATTTTTAATAGAAACTTTGATCGTATATTTACCATGCTAATTTATTGTGTTCAGGCGCGTCGCAGAAAGGCAGGCGAGGACTCGGATGACGATGACCTCGGTGTCGCCCCTCCCGTCAACGACATTTACCGCCAGAGGCAGCAGAAGAGGGTCAAGTAGGACATTCAAGGGTCCGCCGCTCAAGGAGTTTTAATTTGCAGTGTATACAGAAGTATAGAACTCTAAACGAGATTGAATGATATCTGTTAAGTCAAATGTATTCCCAAATCCATTTCCTAGGTTTTAAGATTCGTAGAAGACAGTAAGGGTTAAAACCTACTTGTCAGTATTGGGTTCATAAAAGCAGTGTTTTTGGTATCGACCCGCTTCCGCATCAAGGGTCAATTTATATTGCGACGGAAAGGAATGGAAGCGAATTTTTGTAACGATCTTGTACATAGCGTAATGAACGTTATGGTCAATTGTGTAACGTTCAAATTAGATAGATAGAGAACTAGCCAAAAATCACGTCACGCGTCTTCTGCAGCAGCCGTGGGCGACGCCTGGCGAATCTGCGTGAAGGCAGGCGTAGTGTGACGTCAAAGTCAGCTAAATACTACAGTCTCAAGGCGCAGTCGCAAGAAAGCTTCCGTTCCGCCGCAATGGAAATTGCGCCTAAGGGCGACACTTTTTTCTGGACGCAATCAGACATCAACTATTTGTGCATTCCGGAATAAACTTATCCTACAACGTGGAGAGTAAAACAACTAGAACTAAACGGTGTATCGGGCAACCTATCACAAAATCGATTTTTTTGCCGAAGTAATGTTTGTTCGAATTTTTATTACACCGATATCCGAATTATAACGAAACCGTTGTTCTTTCAGGATATGTTGCATATTTATCGCAAAGACACGATTAAGTTCGGTTTGGTTAGGTTTAACATTACTTTCGAGTTTATGAAAATTCAAAGTGTATCTTATTATTGATATAAAGATCGAACAAACACAGAAAAAAGTCCTTCGATCCAGCCGGATACGAACCAGTGTCTGTCGCCTAACATGGCTACGGATCGAGCCAGCTGATCTCACGAATTTGTCTATGTGCTTGTTGCGGATGGTTTATGTTCGATTTAATCTGCTTGTTTGCCAAATATCTTTGTGTCAATAATTGTAGTAAAAACATATGACATTGAATAAAAATAAACTATTGAATCATTGACTTACAAATAAATGGACGACGGGTCTAATACAAAAACCACG